GAGACGGGGTCTCACTGTGGTTGCCCATGCTGGAATGCAGTGGTGTGATTCGGCTCACTGTGGTCTCAGCCTCCTGGGGTCAGGTGATTCTCCCACCTAGGCCTCCAGAATAGCTAGGACTATAGGCACATGCCATAACGCCCAGAAAATTTTTTTTTTAGTAGAGACAGCGTTGGTCGTGTTGCCCAAGCTGGTCTCAAACTACTGGAATCAAGCAATCCTCTGCCTTGGCCTCCCAAAGTGCTGGGATCATAGGTGTGAACCACGGCACCTGGTCTTTTATTTTATTTATTTTTTTGAGATGCAGTTTCACTCTTGTTGCCCAGGCTGGAGTGCAATGGCACAATCTTGGCTCACTGCAACCTCTGCCTCCAGGGTTCAAGCGATTCTCCTGCCCTATCCTCCCAAGTAGCTGGGAATTACAGGCATGTACCACCACGCCTGGCTAATTTTGTATTTTTAGTAGAGACAGGGTTTCTCCATTTTGGTCAGGCTGGTCTCAAACTCCCAACCTCAGGTGATCCACCTGCCTCGGCCTCCCAAAGTGCTGGGATTACAGGCATGAGCCACCGCAACCGGCGCCCCCTTTTTCTTCAAGAGATAGGTTCTCTTTTGTTGCCCACTGGAGTGCAGTGACATGATCACAGCTTATAACAGCCTTGGACTTTCTGGCTCAAGCAATCCTCCCACCTGGCCTTCCAAAGCACTGGTATTATAGGTATGATCCACCACACCCAACTTCAACACACAATTAAAGATACTTGTATAGTAGAAAATTCTTGTGTCTGAGACTGGGACTTGATCATGGCTCATTCATTTAAAGCTACACAATCTTGGGCAGGTTACTCTCTGAGTCTTATTTAAGTCATCTGTAAAATGAAGATTAAAAACAGCCCTTACTTCAATTTTTAAAAATCTTTATTTCAATAAGATTGTTTGTGGATTAAGTGTGAGAATGTATATAAGGTGCTTAGCACAATACCTGGCTATTGTTATTACCACAGATCATAAAAAAATTTTTCTCTCTTTTGCATATTGCTAACAAATAGATACTTACCACCTAACAAATTGTCTAGTGTGCTATAAGCATCTTCACAAAGTGTGGATTTGTATTCATTTTCCCTTTCAAAATTCTCTATTTCATTCTGTATTAATAAAAAATGCATTAATATTAATACTTCAAACAAACATAAGCTTCTTCTAAAGGTATTTGCACATTGCTATGTAATTCTATTAGAATATTTCATTGTAATGAATATGGTAGAATGTGCTTTCCAGTATCTTTCCCCAGCGTATATTTGGCTCCCTTTTCATAAAACTATGCTAACAGAGTCACAATATTAAACAAAAATGTCACATAGCTTGCTATTTTAAGATTTTGGTTTTTTGGTAAGTCAAATTATGTGACTATAAACTTAGGGATATGTGTTAGCGTATTTATCTTATTGATAATTCTTTGATGTTTATTAAATCTAGTCTAGACAGCATTAAAATCATTGTTATTCCAGTCTATTAACACTGAAGATATATAAAACAGGCATATATCTGTTACATATTTTTATAAATTCCTATTTAGCAGAATCAGATGTCACTATCAAATGTTTAGAACAACATTCACGAAGATATTAGGATATTACAGTCTTATTTTGTAAGAAAGGGAACTAGGCATTTTCATGAAGATAGGAAAGTTGTCATTTACATGCAGGGTGCTGTCAATGTCATTATGAGTGATAACTGAATCATTTGCATACTGACTTAAGTGGAAGACGCATTAGACTAGACGTCAGTTTCCTTGAGCTCTTGTCCTGGCTATGTAACTGAACTGTTGTGGTCATGTCCCCTGGCTGCACTCCTGGGACTTCATGAGTCTAGAAAGGATTCTAACACCATGTGTAAAAATGTACCTTGCTCTGTTGCCCAGGCTTGAGTGCAGTGGCATGATCTCGGCTCACTGCAACCTCTGCCTCCCAGGTTCAAGCAATTCTCCTGCCTCAGCCTCTGGAGTAGCTGGGATTACAGGTGCTCGCTAACATGCCCAGCTAATTTTTATATTTTTAGCAGAGATGGGGTCTCACCATGTTGCTCAGGCTGGTCAAAATATATCTTCCACCAGTGAAGCTGGGAAAACCAGACCTTGTATTCCCCTGTTATATGTCCACTGACAATTCTTTTATTGTTCCTTATGTACTTGAAGAAGTTTTCATATGGAAGACAATGTGAATTCTGAATACATCTGAGCCTCCTGGAACTTATAAGCAATGCATACCTGAGGCAAGTCACAAGTGGTACTGGTGGTTTCCATACAGATGGGAGAATCTGAAAGCGTTAAGCCTTGAGAAAGATTGCTGACATTCATGGTATCTGATTCCGACATGCTTTCTAATTTTTCATGAGAAGTATCCACTTCAAAATGTACAGGATCTGAAGGTGATGCCCCAAATTTCTTATAGTCCTTGTTCATAACTGTTGAATAATGGAAGGCTTCCTTAAAAAAAAAAAAAGGATGCCTATTAGTATGTGCAAACAAAGTTTTTTCCCTATCCTTCTTCTCATTAACAGAGTAGCAAAGTTTACTACTGTTATTTAAAATGTCATCTGTCAAGTTATTAGAAAAATTAAAAACTTTAAGTATACCATGAAAATTTGGTGTGGTAGAAAATACTGATTTGGAAAATAACAGTATTGACTACTATCCAATAATTCCCTAAAAGGCTTTGGACCTAGAAGGTGAAGGAATCTCTATGTTACTTAATCAAAGGATATTTACAAAATATTATCAGAGACCTATTAGGTTCCACAAAATGCTGTATTTTGTTCACTTGATACCTTCCACTTGAACACCTCACTAGCAAGTTGAATCCAGGATTGTAAATCAGTTTTCCCTCCTCATGTTCCCACACTGCATCTACTCTCTCAAGTACCTGTGTTTGAAAATGGAGTTGTCTTGGCATCCCTCTACCTCATCATCCATGGCTCTTCGGATACCAAGTCTCATCCATTTCTCCTTTAAAAATGCCTTTCAGTGACCTGTGCTTGCTTTCTATCCCGTGTTGCCACACCGGTCCACATTCTCCTGACTTCCTCTGGCCTGTCCGGAGCAGAGAGTGGAAAGGATGGCCACTCACATTGAGTCTAAATTCTCCTGCCTGTCTTTCCAAGCCATCCATAGCCTGCAGTGACATTACCTACCCAGTACTCCTCTGCTCAACTCAGATCAGGCTCATTTCCCTGCAGACAGTGTTCCTTACGGCTTAAGCTTCAGCCATCTGCCCTAGCATGTCCTCTCCTAAAGCCTTCCCATCTATCCATTCATCTATTTTTTAAATTCCTACAATGTCTCCAGTCTCTAAATCTCTCACAATTCAGCACTTAGTGACTTTGTTTACTGTTTTAGAGCTTCACCACTGTTTCAAGGCTGTTAGTGCTTGTACTTACAGATCATAAATCCCTTGAGAGGAGTCGACTTATGGCTTACCAATATCCACTACTGCAAATGGACCAGTGCTGTCTAACGAGCAAATTATTGATTGAATCCTGCATTCTAATGATTTATTTCTATCAAGCTCTCTCAATTTATAGTCATGACTCATCTGCCTGGATTATTTTACTGAAATTCTGAATGGATAGTTTATTGAAAATTAGTTGTTTTCAAACCTATGACATCAGTCAGTAAAATGTAAAAAAGTCAAGCAGGTTAGTCAGGATCAGTGAAAGGCTCAACTTTATGCTCACCTTTTGTCTTTCAAATAATGCTGCCTGGATTGTGTTGAGATCTGAAAAATCCTTGCTTTGTTTCCCCAGTGCAAAAAATCGCAAAGGCCTTGTTTCTTTTTTTTTTTTTTTTTTTTTTGTGAACCCAGCACTTACATTTCTACAACTTTGTTCATCCCTCATATAGCACTGCACAATCTGCCAGTTTACCTCTTTAATTTAAAGTCAGGCTATTTTGGCTGGGTGCTTAGGCCTGTAATCCCAGCACTTTGGGAGGCCGAGGCAGGTGAATCACCTGAGGACGGGAGTCGGAGACCAGCCTGATCAACATGGAAGAAACCCGTCTCTACCAAAAATACAAAATTAGCTGGGGGTGGCGGGCGCCTGTAATTTCAGGTACTTAGGAGGCTGAGGCAGGAGAATCGCTTGAACCTGGGAAGTGGAGGTTGCGGTGAGCCGAGATCACACCATTGCACTCCAGCCTGGGCAACAACAGCAAAACTGTTTTTGTTTTTTTTAAAAAAAAGGCTATTTTTTTTTCTATTTTTCTATCTTTCATTTGTCCTTACCAGGTTTATAGTGGATTTTTAACATATTTATCAAATGTTTGTATAGATGTTCCAAAGACACTCTAAAGCTGTTTTAAGATAGGAGTTACTGGCAAAAACCATAGTCTTGTTTAAAAGTTTTGCATCGTACAACAAACTTTACCTTTTTAAAAAGCACTTATTCATTTTCACCACAAAATGAGGCACCAAACTTTTTAACACAGAGAAGTGTGCTCACTTCAGGATCCATAGAGTTTCTTGGCCCCACGCTACGGACTTGGCGCTTCCTCCCTCTGCACCGGGTTTTGCGGGAGACAGAACGCTTTCCAACCTCCTCCACCGGGGACTCTCACAAACTCGCAATCGGGCTCCCTGGGCGCTGGAACGCCCCTGTGTGACGTCCGCTCGCGCCGGCGGATCTCGGCGGGTACAGGCGCAGCCCGCGAGACCCGAACGACCCCGGGTCCGTCTCCCCAGAGTGAAGTTAAGAGGGTACGACTCCCTAGGCCGAACACTGTGGGTTAGCGGGCGCCTCCTGCCGCAGTAAACACAAAATAGGGTACAGAAACGAAAACTCCGGGAAGAAACGGCCAACACCGGCCTCGCCAGGCAGGCTACTCAACACGCCTGCCTCGGAACGTGGAGCGTCCACTGAACCCACACAACATTCCATTGAGCTAGCTCTGAACTCGCAGCCCGCCTGCGAGAGGGGCGGGACTTCCTCTCAAGTCAGACTTCCGGGGGGCGGGGCTTCCGGTTGGGGAGCCAGGGCGGCCTGTCAGCGGCGTAGCAGTTGGTCAGGTTTTCCTGTCGCACGTGGTGGCTACTGTTGGCTTCTGAATGGTTTGTAAGGCGGAGATCCACGCCGAAGCCGTTGGATCGGTCGCGGGTACATCCGTTTGAGCCGTTTCTGTCTCAGTGCAAAGCGGCGGCCTCCGGCGGCGCCTTTCAGTCATGGACTACCGGCGACTGCTCATGAGCAGGGTGGTCCCCGGGCAGTTCGACGACGCGGACTCCTCCGACAGGTAGGCGACCGTACAGTGCACTGGGTCTGGTTACTGCTGTCTCCTTGTCCGCCGCCGTGGGCAGTGGACTCTTGTCTGTGGTTTAGAGGAAGACTAGCGGTTCATCACTCAGTGTGTTGACAACATTTTGCCTGTTTCTGCATCCCAGCCGGATCTTTCTCCCAGTTCATCGCAGAGTTAGTGAAAGCCACTTGTCAAGGGAGTCTGCGGTTCCCAGGTTGGTTAGCGTCACTGGGAGGCAGAATTGGGGATAGCGATTAGGAAACACAGGTGTTTGCGTTTTAACCACAGGTAGGGTTCAACAAATACTTGCTAAACACTTAATATGTATCACGTTCTGTCCTGGGCGCCGGAGATAGTGATGAACAAGACGAACCAAGTTCCTGATGTCGTGGAACTTTGCCTTCTACATGAAAGGGAGGGCACATCATTTAAAAACCAAATAACGATTAGACTATGCAAATCGTTTGATATACTAAGTGTTGACTGAATGGTTAGGGAAAGGTTAAGTCCAGATTTTAATGACAAAGAGCTAATCTTGGCAAGAGCAGAGGGAACTGTATTTCACACAGAAGGGGCAGCAAGAGGGAAGGCCCTGAGGCCAGAGTGCCTAGAGCACAAAGAAGGTAGTTGAGAAGATTGGTAGGGTATTGATAGAGAAGTAAGAAGGGGGCCAGATCCTAGAGACCCTTATAAGCGATGGTGAAAAGTTCAGGTATTAACCTGGGTCTCATGGAAAGCCATAGGAGGGATTTTAGCAGAATGACATTATTTGATTGGAATCATTCTTCTATGTAGATGATGTTCATGGAGGGCGGGACTGGAGCAGAGAGACCAGTTCAAAGTAATAAGGTAATCAGATTCAAAATGGTGGGGACTGGAGATCGGATCCTAAAGATACATTTTGGAGGTAGAAGTGGCAGGGTTTGGTGGTAGTTTGGACATGGAGTCTGGCGAAAGAGGAATGAAGGATAACTCCTGCCTACAAGCAAAATGAAACATATTGGAGTTATTTTGGAATTCCAAGAAAACAATTTGTACTTTATGTTTACAGTGAGGATTCATTACATGTAGATTTTATTAATTATTGGGGATGTTTTTAATAAATATGTGTATGTTGACTGCTTTCTGTGTGTCAGATCTAGTCTTGTGTGGTAGGGAGGCATTGGTAAACTCCATCCTGCATGACCCAGAGCTTGCATCCTGGCAGTGGAAACCGAAATTATTAAATAATTAGACAAACTATTTGTATTAGAATTTGGTAAGTAATACAAAAGAGAAGTGGGTGAAAAATAAGTAAGGCTTCCTTAAGCAAGTGATAGTGAGCTGATACTTGAAGGATGAGTAGGGGTTAGCCAGAGGAAGGGGAAGGGCATTCCAGTTTTATGGTTCCAGAGAAGTGTACAGAAAGCCTTAGGGAAGAAGGTAAGCAGCAGAAGAAACACAGCCAGCACAGCTGGTGGGTAGTTAATGGTAATAAGAGGGCACTAATTTACCATCCACCCCAGGATATTGTAAGGATACACCAGTGATTTTCCATCAGGGAAGATGTTGCATCCCGACCTCTACCCAGCGGCTTTTGGCAATTTCTGGAGACGTTTTTATTTGTCACAGCTGGGGGCGGTGATGCATTAGTGGCATCTGGTAGGTAGAGGCCAGAGGTTTGCTGCTAAACATCCCACAATGAAGAATTATCTGGCAAAGTTGTAACTTTAACATGCCTCTCTAGGCAATTATACCATCAATCTATGGAACATATGTATGAAGTCCTGGTAAATAGCAAGTGTTTAATGATTATCTGCTCTCTTCTTCCATGTGTCCATGGGGAACCCTCGGAGCCACGGCTAATTAATAAATTGGGATTGATAATCAGAATTTACTTAAACTCACGCCTGTTTTTCAGCTGGTAGCTCATATTATCAGCTGCTTTTTTATGGTTTCTGTCCTTATTCTCTACAGGAGAGGTCAAAACTGATAGTCCCCTGTTGAATTTGGCCTGCAGACATGTTTTGTTTGGTATGCACGGTTATTTTAAAAATTGACTATGCCAATTAAGGGATAGATTTTACACAGAAATCCAGACTTCTAGCTTCTCTTGAAAAATTAAAATCTGGTAACACTAGGCCTGAATCCTCATATGGCCAAAAAAAATAAAGAAAGTCCTTACTAGTTGGGCTCCTTTTACCCTAGACCTCTTTTCCCAGTTTGCCAGTGCCCGCTTCTGTCGCTTCTATCGTGCAGTCTACTTCACTCATTTATAATGCCTGGCCCCTGTATTCACCATTTCTTCCCATCATGAACAAGGATGATTTGGAGTTCTTTGTGGAACACAAAGCTTGATGTAACTTCTTTTGTTGCAAAGTGTTATCAAATTCAAAGTAAGGCTGCCTTAGACTTACTCCCAAATTTTTTGTCGGAAAG